GAGGGCACTTAAGAACTATTGGTTGTCTCTCGTTGATCTCCTATCTTAATTTTTGAAGATTTCAAGTGTTTGTACACATTTATTCTGATTTTAACCCTTTTTTTTTTTTTATTTTTTGTACTTTGTCAGTACCCCCACAAAACAAGAATATAGATGAGTAGAACAAAATAGTGATAATACTCATTTATTTCTCCAGCCTTATTAGTTGCTGCTTCAACCTTTAGTTGTTAAAAGAGATCTCTAGGTTGGCTAAATGCGCATAAATATTTTACTTTTAGTCAATATTTCTTTTTAGTATTCTTTCATCGTTTTTGAGGTGAATAAGGGTATGGCAGAAACACCAACTGCCGGTTCTCCTCGCTTGTCTCGTGGAAGACGATATGTTCCTATGAATGTGGGAAGATTCGAACCGATAGATAATCGTCAAGCGCTGGTAATTGAAATTGGAAACAGATTCACCAAGTAGGTGCATCATTTTGACGTCAGCTCTTTTATTACTTTAGTGATTGAGTTACCATTTTTGTAGACTGCTAGAATAGGAATTTGGTAATTCTGTATTTGTTGAGACGTTCTGCCAGGTTTTATGTATTCAATCTTATCGTGGTTTAGGGTTGGTTGTGCTGGAGAATATTTGCCGCAAGCGATTATACGTACTGAAGTGTCTTCTTGTAAAGGGAAGATGTTTCCTGTTTTTGAAAAGAATCGTGATGAAACTGAGCAGTATCGTTATATTGTGAGGTTTTTCAAACAGATATTTTTCAGGTACATTATTTTCATCATAATCTCTTTTAGTTCAACCTAGGATTAATAGTGTCGTATTAGGTCTGAACATGAACTACTTAAAAAAGATCGAAAAAGCTGCGAAATTCTGCTTCATAATTCGGTAGGAACAGAAAAACAACAGTAAATTGGAATTCCTCAGGAATCGACTGTGTCGTAACACGAGTGTGTTTTGAAGGCATTTGTTGATAACTCCAAAAGACAGACGTCTCGTAATTGTTGAAAGCGTTATGTCACCAACGGCTGAACGAAATCTGCTTGCTAAAGCCCTTTTTGAGGCTTTTGAAGTTGCTTCTGTATTATTCGCTCCATCTCATCTGTTAGCTACTTTCCCTTACGGGACAAAAACTGCATTGGTTATTGATATTGGCTACAAAGAGACATTGATTTTACCAGTCAGTGATAAGTTGATGTTTCTGTTCCCTTATATTGGTTTATTCACATGTTTATGTAGGTGCAGATTGCAAATTTGAAAGATTTTTTTTTTGGCAACAGTCGGAAACTGGCAAATTACTATTAGGAATATTTATTCAGATTTGTTTTTTGTGATCAGTGCTTATCTTCTTCTTTATTAAATTTTACTTAAAACAGAACTAGTTATATATTTTTCTGTTTTATAGAACTTTCCAGAAGTGAGGAGCTTTCTCTTATTGCTTTGTCTCCTTATCCTAACAAATTTAGATAATCGAAGGAGTAACTGTTCTAAATGCTTGGGAGGTTTCTTCTGTAGGCGGAAGAAGAATAGAGGAACGAGCTTTGGATCTTTTGCGGAAGTAAACAAAATGATTAATTTTTTGATTGAGGTTTTCCGAAATATTCGTACCATTGGTCGTTCAGAGATTTTGCGCTACGTTTTCACTTACGCTCATTTAGTGGTTTAGGCATGGAAGAATAATTACTTGTAAAGGGACCACGAGAGAGATTAATGACGACGATGTTGCAATATTTGCTAAGAACAGAACAGTTGAGGACGTTGTGGTTCGATGCTGTTTTGTTACTTCATTCGATCGTTCTGGACAGCAGGCTTCTTCCGAAGGTTTTATAGTTTTTTTTTTTTTTTTTTGAAATTTGTCATTTTTTATTTATCAGCAAAACTGAGTTGTAGGAGTTGGCCCAGGAGGAGATGCTGCTGAAGGCCCGGCAGAAATTCAGTTACGGCATGGTGATGAAATACTTGTTGTTCCTGGCTACGTCAGGTATAGCCTATTACTTTTGATTTCGAATTCGTTTGCTAGTTCCGCTATTTTTTTTATTGACTTGTGTTGCTAGTCGCAGATACATTTTGTAGGGAATTTGTAGCGGAAGTACTTTTTGATTACAATGAAGATGAGAAGTCACTTCCTCAACTGATCCTTGATTGCGTATTGAAGGTAACTTGCCACCCCCCAAAATAACGCTTGTATTTGAGTTTTCTTGAAAGTTCCGGTATAGTGTCATTGCTTTCGTCAATTTTGGGGCGAAAGTTGTTTCATCTAAATCATAAGATAAAAACAATGCAATTTTGAATGAAGAAGGTTTATTTTGAAAGAGTTGCAGTTTAAAGTTGGAAAATATTCAGTTGTTAAAACTTTCTTGGTTTCATCTATCAATGTTTTCCAGTGCTCAATTGACTGTCGTAGGAAACTTCTTGAAAGCTTGATCCTGACTGGCGGCAGTGCTCGAATGAAAGGCTTATATGCGCGTTTAAAAGATGAACTGAAGCAAATGGTCAAGTCGCCAGACCGTTCGTATGCAAGCAAACTCGGAAATATCGATTCATTCAAGTTTTATTTATATCCAAATACTCCTTTAGAAATGATTGCAAATTGGCTAGGAGGTATTCTATGAACAATTTTTCTTTAGCTAAATGTTCATTTCTTTTTTAGATATGGCCTTGGTTGTTTACGAATTAATATTTTTTCAAGTTATTATATATTTGAACTCTTGTTAGGTATACGTTTTTATCAGACAAGGTTTTAAAAAATTCCTCCACCAGTTTTGCCGGAAATAGGAATTTTGAAGTGGGAAGGTCTCTTGGCCGGAACAGTTCTTTCCTAATTTTTTATTTCATTTCGTTAGCAAGATAATTTTTTTATTTTTGAAAAAAGTGGTAGATGTTAGATATCAGCAGTTATTCCTTTTAAATTCATGGCTTTAATGTTGAAGAAAGTTTTTGAAATGTTATTACTTGATTTTGCAGGAAGTATGTTTGGGGCGTTAGAAGTACTACAGTACCGGTCCACATCGCGTGATGACTGGACAGCTCGTAAGACTATACCTGATTGGACTAACGTAGTTGTGCAAGGTGCTTAGGCTTCTGGAGTCACTGAATTTTGTTTTTGAGCAGTCTTTTCTCAAAAACTTTTGTAAATGTTTAGCTAATATTGAGGAAAATGCGTTAATATTGCAACAAACAGATTATTTAACCAGGTTTTGCTTCTCTTTTAACGATCACAGCGACTGTTTATACCTGTATTGAGTTTGTTCTTGTTATGAAATTTGTCTTTTTTAAAAAGTTTTTTATATTTATTGTGGAAAAATAGATACTCAATACCTGATACCGTCTGGTTCAGCCATGAGTAATTATTTGATATGCAGTTATTGACTCTAAAACGTTTTTAAAACTTTAAGGTTACTAAAAACCTTACTATTGAGACGGGTAAAATTTTGATGTAATAACTGTACGGTGTTTAAGGCATAATTTATCTGCTTTTCTGATGTACGATATTGTTAATGTATTTATGTCATCTTCTTATTCCGTAGTGGGCTTGAAACTTTGACAAGTAAAGTGCTCTTAAGACTCCGTTGTAGCAGTCGTTAACGAACTTTTGTGCTTCTTTGTTTGACCTTTTTGAAAGACACATAGCCATCAAAATAGTCGATGGATTTCTCTAATGAGTAATTCTGCTGCAACCTGCCTAGGAGTTTTCTGGTTTTCTTGTGTAGCATAGTTTGTGGTCGGGTGGCGAATTTCACTTGCACACTTTAAGTCGCAGTAAAAACAAAATAAGGTGGTTGGAACGGGAGAGGTTTGAAGCAGGTATGCCTGTTATAATGCTTCACCATAAATTGTAGCAGACACAATATGGTTGCAGGGGAAGTGATAGTTCTTTCTTTTCCAATTCTTACAGTTTTAAAAGAGGTGGGCGAATAAAGCGAATAAACACTTTCATGACACCTTAAAAGTTTTGTTTACTAAAAGTTGAAGACATGTAAACGAATTTTTAAGTCAAGATCTAAATTTTTCTTAGGAATTGTTTCCACTGGATTTCTGATAGAAAACTTTTGGTCTTCTAGTAAATTTTGCTTTGAACTTTAAATTTCAAAAAGATAATCACTGATTTGCTTTGTTTTCGCCTACTTTGCTGAGAAAGGCTCTTTTTGCTACTGTTTTGGGTCTTTATTAGAAGATCATCTTTTTCAGTTATCAACAAGTAACCTTCAGTCTAACACCACTTCCGAAAAATTCTGGTCTAAGTAACTTTTAGTCTCTAAGTTGAAGCTCGGTCAACCGTATTAATTGGACTTTTAGTTACTCAGGTTTCAAAAATTCTAAACTGCAGTAGAGCTTGTTCATTATGTATTCTGTAGGTTTTATTTTCTTCTTTTAGCATATGTGTACTTATCGTTGCGCGTTCGAGGAAAATGAGTCAGACGCATCTTCCAATCGGATTTGAAAAATTAAGATTACTGAAGGAGGAAAATTGAGGTAAATTAATGTCAGTTCAACCAGCATACACTTCTTTGGTTGCGTCGTATTCAAGAATATGTGATAGAAAACACTAGTAATAGCTAAGAAGTACAAATGAGACTGCTTGACAGATATTTCGTTATCTTAGCAAAAAGAAAACAAATACAAGACTTTTTTAGAAAGTAGTCAAAATTTGAGATAATGCATAAATAAGCGGCAATTTACGTGGCGAAATATACGCCAAGAAAAAAAAAAAGTTGATTAAGTATTTGTATGTATGAATTGTATCCAACATTTAAAGAAATTATAAATTGAATTGCTGCTGTGCGCTGTAGTGTTCATCATTTAATTAGAAACACACATTAATATTTGAGGTAAATTTTGCTGACGCTGATGCACTCTATTTTCAATATTTCATTGCTGGGACAAAAAAAAAGTTGAGGGGCTTTTTTTTTTTCATCGCAGAATTAATCTTCTTAATCTTAAGAAGTATTTATCTATTTTAAAAAAAAAAAATTTGCTGTAGAACAAAAAAGTTTTATGAGTAACTTACGCTCAAGTAAAGAAAAAAAATGGAATGTTCGAAGTGAACAGTTATCGCTAATTTGCTTCATAAAATTTGCTTGCTTGTTCAAAAAAAAAAAAAAGTCTGACTGAAAATGAACCTTGAGAGTAGAAGAAGAAGAAGAAGAAGAAGGGTTAAAATAAGTTCTGAAAATTGATAATAAAAATTTTTTGAAAAATGTCACAGTTTGTTTCAAAAATTCATTAGTTTATTCATCGGTTTTCAAAATGAAGCCTCACAAACAGTTTCTAATTGTTTGCAACTAACAGAAACATTTCTGATTGCAGGTTGAAAACATAATCGATGTAATTCTTTTTATTTTTTGTTTTTCTTTTTTTTTTTTCTACTACTTTTAACTTCTTTGTCAATGTACTATTTTCGTCAACACGAGGGAGAAGAATCATGAAAGTTTAAAAAAAAAGACAGAATAAGATAAAGTGACTTTTTGATAAATGGTCAATAATGTAGTGGTTGTCTCTTAATACTGCTTTTGAAATGTTGCCTTTTTTTTCCGAAGCAAATTCTTCCTTTTTCCCTTGTTTAGTTCTGTCTAATTTTTTGTTATTCAATAATTGTAAACTGAAAAAATCATCGTTTCCACTGTCTAGTCGACCCCAGTAAACAACCAATTATAAGTATATTTGTTAAGCGCGAAATCAATTAGTTTCTGGAGGATGGTTGTCCAGAATTTAACTTTGTTGAAAGCAGACAACAGAAAAAAATTGATGGTTTTTTTATAGCTAAATAATTTTTTCTTAAACTAAAAAATATTCAACAATTCTATTAAATTTGTCTAAGTTGACTGCTGCTGCTGCTTTTGTTACACTTTTTACTTAAGAGCTTTGTTTTTAACACTTTTATTCGGCCGTCAAATAAGCATTGTTTTTTTTTTTTTTTT